CATTCATTATGTCTTCTTAAGCTTCTGAAGGTTCGTAATCCTCTATGCAGGTACTCCACTAGGTTCAGTTCTCTATATCCTGTATGTTTCAGGTATGCCACAGTCTTCACGTCCTGTTCAGATTTTGTCATTATGCTGATGAAACTGTCACAGTGGCTACTTGTTCAATGATGTTCTACAAACAACAGTGAATCACTTTCTTATGGGTTATATATTGGTGACTTATACTCAATATCTAAAAAACTAAAGTTATTAAGTTTGGTTCAAGCAAAAAAAAAAAAATATATATATCGATCTTGCCAAAATCCTGATAACTTTAGTGTTGAAAAACACTATGTTTCAACACAACTATCTAACGCAGTTATATATTTGTGTTTCACCTTCGATAAGTATCTCATCTTGCAACACTAAAGTTTACAGTCACACAACGATTCAACCTTTTGCGATGTCTGACTTGGAGTTTAAATCCACCTCTTCTGTGTTCTTATAAGGCCTTCATTCGTCCTTGCTTTATCTATGGCCATATGTCATGGGTATCTGTCTCTTCTTTTTACGAATGATTTATGGACAGAGTTAAGCTTCCCAGCTCAACGAAGAAGATGTATGATCGCATAACATTTACCAACACTTTCAATCATCTTCAGAAGCTTCGTATCAAACATATTAGACGCTGCTTCCAGACTCACAATGTCATCCTTGGCGACCTGATAAGTTCTTCATTTCATCTTCCGCGAAAATTGCTTCCCTCAGGTGATCATATTTTCAATACTTTATGAGATGATTGTTCCGGAGGTTGGTCCTGGACATGTTGCTTCCTTATATCTATCCTACCTGAAGAACGTTTCTCGTCTCTCACTTACCTTCATCACTGATTAATTAAAGTTTTGAGCGACAACCATCCTTTCATAGTATTCAGTTTTCGTTTCGGAATCCTTTTCACTACTCTAAAATACGAAACTTCTTATTCATTATCTATAGCTACTATGTACTGAAGTTTAACCTCCTGACCGAAGAGATGGTGTAACCCATTGCTAGCTCACCATCTTCATGAGCTAGAATTATATAACAGAGGAGGGGGGTAGTCTTTTGTTTCTCATCGTCTAGCACAACTGATGAGTTCTCACAAAAGGTCTCTTTAGGCAGTGACTTGTGGGAGTCACAATATAGAATAAATGCTGTTTTTATACACCTCTGATTTTAAATCCGAAATGGGCAAATGAAGATGAATGTGAAAAAAAAAACGCATTTGTAGTTTACATGATTTTGATCACAAGTTTTAGCCTAGTGTATTCTATAATTAAATACTACTAAACTAAACCGTTGATATACTATAAGTTTTAAATTTCTGTTTTTCTTACACAACTTGTGAGTTAAAGTATTGGATGTTGGTATTAAAGTACCAACAATTAAGCACTCTAATTGATACCATTAGGCATGTTCCCTTGCTGCTAAGATTTGTTTCTTTTCCAAATAACTGTTTTCTTCTTACAACTACAATTACCTCCATAGGTGTACTTTGGGCCGAGATTGCGGTAAATCCCACGATGTCACTAAAATAGATGGTAACACTGTCGAATGCTTCGGCTGTTACAACTTCACCACGAATTAGTTGACTTGCTACAGATCTGTAAGAAGAGAGACGATGGAAGAGCCACGGGCACCTGCTTTTATTTATCTTAACTTAATTCATTTAAATGTTTCGAATCATAACCAGAAAGTTCAATCTCTCAACTAATTTTTTTTGACATACTGTATATAGGCCTCGAGTTAAAAAAAAAGGCTTAAAAAGATTTGATCAATACTAGATGTACTTCCGTATGGTTCCCGAAAGTGTTCTAATTAAAGAATGAATAAAACCAAAATTAAAGTAGCAAATATTTTTAATTTTTGCTTTTAAAGTTCATATGTCACTCTGTGTTGTAGCCTACAGTGTGCATAATTCTTCTTGTGATTCATTGCATCTGCACGTTTTACTGATAGTACAAATTATGTGAATTTATTTTAGTGTCTACTTACTCACTGACAGACAACACACTATTGTATAGAGGTGAAAGTGGTTAAAAGAAATGATATAGATGTATTTCGCAATCACGTGACAAAAGCAACATTGTTATGTTTTTATTGAATTGCCCCGTTGTTACTCTAATATTGTAAGTAGATACAACTTTTGCAAATGCCAAATAAATATGTACTCTTTAGACTCGAATTCACAAATTGATGCCCCTATGCGTGAACAACATATTTGAGATAGTTTATCCTTAGCTTAAATAGCAAGTTGTGACTGCAAACTAGCGGAGGTTAGTCTACACACCGGGTTTTAGAAGTTTTTCCGGTCATCTAAATTGTGTATAGTTTACGTTCTTCTTTCAAAACCACGAATTTTTCCCTTTTACGAATGGCTTGTTCTCCACTTCCCACCCCTTTAGAAGTCGCTTGCTCTCAGGTTTATAACTGCAACATATGTGTGAAGCGCTTACAAGATTTCCAGTTAAACAAAATTAGTTTTAAAATGGTTACTACAGATTCAAAGTTCATATAACCTTAAGGTGGCTTAAACATTAAGGAGAAGACCACTAAATACATATAAACATTTTAGTGTAAAGTTCAAAAACCTAAAGTAAAAACCTTTAAAATTGGAGGTCACTCAGTCTTTGAATTCGAACTCAAAATGATTAGCAAATGCTGAACGTACTTTGGTAAAAGTTGATAGAGCAGGTCCTCTGCTTTACGTTTCTCTTCCAGATAGTCAGCCGTTCGTTCTTCAACCAAAGACTCCAGATTGTTGGCGTATTGTTCCATACGGGAGAGAAGATTATCCAGGATGTTTCCACTCTCATTATTTCTAAAGAGTTAGGTAACGAAATAAATAAGCAAGTTTAATAACATAATACTTACTAAATAGTTGATTCCCGATGGCAAAACGATAAGTCTGAAGGGCTTATAGCACTAAATATTGGGCTTCGATACCCGCTATGGCCAGAGCACAAATAAACTATTGTTTAGCTATGCGATTAACAAATACTTGGTAGTTTGAAATGAATATAAAAGTACTAGTCGCGAGTAGCAAGACATTTGCGGTAGTTTTCATGCCCTTCACTTGAATTTTCCTTATTCTATCATTTTTACGCATGCCATTTAAGCTATGCTGTATTGCAGGCAATTTGTGTTAGATCGATAAATCTTGATTTATTTCAAAACATTTTACTCGGTCAGACAAATAAACTCACGTAATATAACTTTATTTAATAAAACTACAATAAAGTATAGTAATGGTAGTTATACTAGTGTAGAGTGTTTGATCGTTAGATGGCGCGTTGATCTATACTGTAAGCACATTATTTGCCCCTCTTTTATAAACAAGAGGAAATCGTCAACAGCTGCGGCTGTAATTAGATCTCAAATAGGTCAAGAGATGGAGCCACGAGCTAAAAGTTAATACTTGAAAAAACAACAACACAAACAAACAGAACCATTCTATAGCCGCTATGCCGTGGGTAAAAAGTCTAGTGTGTTTTTTTGTTTCTGCGCAAATCTACACAATGGGTTGTATGTGCTCTGTCCACCACAGATAATCGAACTCGGAATTTGAGCATTGTAAGTCTGTAAAATGATCAGTGACATAAAATAAAACAGTGATGACTGTAATTTCGTGAAAATAAAAATGAAACGTTGGCTGACAGTTGTGTTACTCTAATAAAAAAAAACTTTCTAACTTATACAAACTTATAAAATATTATAGTTACGACAGTAATTTTGTTTAAAAAGAAAATATACCGAACAAATAATGGTAGACATATAGTTTGTTTGTTTTAATTTCGCGTAAATCTACACGAGGGCTATCAGCACTGGTCGTCCCTAATTTAGCAGTGTAAAACTAGAGGGAAGGCAGCTAGTCATCACCACCCATCGCCAACTTTTGGGCTACTCTTTTACCAATGAATAGTGGAATTGACCGTCACATTATAACGCCTCCACGGCTGAAAATGCGAGCATGTTTGGTGGACCGGGGATTCGAACCCGCGACCCTCAGATTGCGAGTCGAGCTCCCTAACTACGTGGTCATTCCAGGCCAATAAAGTTATAAACTGATAACTAACACGGCACGACTTAAGGTAACCTGTTCAAAAGAACTTGAAGAATATGAATTCAGGCTAGCACGGCATGACTTAAGATAACCTGTTCAAAAGAACTTGAAGAATATGAATTCAGGCTAGCACGGCATGACTTAAGGGCCTGAATTCATATTCTTCAAGTTCTTTTGAACAGGTTACCTTAAGTCGTGCCGTGCTAGCCTGAATTCATATTCTTCAAGTTCTTTTGAACAGGTTACCTTAAGTCATGCCGTGCTAGCCTGAATTCATATTCTTCAAGTTCTTTTGAACAGGTTACCTTAAGTCATGCCGTGCTAGCCTAAGTTCTTAGTCATTGAGTTGTTTATCATATAAGAATTTTAGTTCAGAAAAGGACGAAGCATCAGTATAAGTATACAGAGTTTAAAAAGCCTTATCTTAAGTATCTTTCAGTAAAAAAACTAACGTTTATATAAGTGCATTTAGACGTACACAGGATAAATCATAAAGACAACAGGAAACTAATGTAAACAATTTTTTTTTCTATCTCGCTCTCAGTGACTTCCACATCACCAATATATGCAGTATTTTCTAGTACACAGTACTAACATGACCCGTTCTTTGACACGTTAATTTCTTTCGATAAACGAGTCTGTCAGTTTAAAATGATGGAGAATCGGCAATTTTAAGCAGAAATAAGGAAAATAAATAAGTTAAATATTTTGAAATACCTTGTATATGTTTCTATAGTAAACACTGGCAGGAAGTAATAGTGTTCGAATACATTTACACCTTACTCGTGTTTTAAAACTTAAGGACCGGACGTGAGCTAGTAGTTTTGTGCGGATTGAAAGGTCCAAGGTTCGCGTCGCGATGCTGCTAAACACACTTAGTACTTCCAGCTGTGGGTGAGTTACAAGAATGAGAATCAATTCGGTTCAAAAAGTAGAACAAAAGTCTTTTTGAGGTGAGTGCTGCTGGATGGCTTAAGGTCGGATTTACCGAAACCCTAAGAGTCTTTGACCTCGCCGTTTAGCCCATGAAAGCGTTAGGTCATGTTTAGGTTGAAAACACCAACACTGAAACTAATAAAACAACAGTTATTAGAAAAGATTATTATAAATGATAAATTTTGTTTTTCGTTTGCTTTAGCGCAAAACCATATTAGATTATCTGCTATGTCCATCGCAAGGGATCGAAACCCCGGATTTTTGCGCTGTAAGCCCATAAATGTACCGCTGACCTACCGGGAGACTAAATGATAAAAGTATCCTTTCTTTATGAGAACTCTTCAGATTAATGATAATTAGCTTTCCTTGTTTTTTTTTTTATCCCAAACCACACAACGGGCTATTTGTACTCTGCTCACCACGAGTATCGAAACGCAATTTTAAGCGACATAAGTTCTTAGCCTTACCACTGAAACAACAGAGGGCCTATAATAAGCTATCCGGTTTGTGTAGTTACGTTTGAATATAGGCATTTAAAGCATGCAGTTGAAACGGCCATTATTTTACGCAATGCTCTATTTTAGTGCAATATTTAGTCTGCGGTTTTTATGCAATACCTGAATA